ATTCTATGATTCTATGATTACAGATAACTAGTTACCTACCACTGTTTCTTCTCCTTATATGTCACAGTTGCAACAGATTCAGCTCTGTTCATTGAGAGGACATTTTTAATAAACTGAAAATAGGGGCTACTAGTGTAGCTTGGTATTTTGTCAGATTGACAAAAAGCTGAGTGTTTGCTCTGGATAGTGTAAGTAATCTTTCTTCTCTTGTGGAAGCAGAGGAAGGGGCAGTAATAATGCAACAGTATTCTAGGCACTTGATTGTCCTTAGCTGCTGGATGTTTGACAATGTGGCTGCGTACAATTCTGTCTAATACAAAGTGTGCTAGGAAGTGTCTGGTAGGATCTTCTTTAGGACAGATATGGCCAGTTATACCAAAACCAATTGACAGTTACTTGTTTAGTCTGTGTCAGAATGAAACACCCATTCAGGAAGGAGAAAATCTACTTTCATATATATTTACTTTTAGAGGAGAAACATATGAAAGCATCTGATCTGGTTCTCTCTTCCTATAATTTAAAAGCCATTACAGTTCTGTATCTAGCATATACGATGAACCGTTTAATGTGACCCTATGATGGGATTGGAAGTACTATGTAATTTCAAGAGAGTTATTGCTTCTCCCTTGTGTTATTTCCAAAGTAATAGCTTATTATTTGTCACTAGTAAGGTCCCCCCATTACAGGAGTATCTAAATATTCTGGTTACTATTAAAAAGTGGTGATAAATAAATTTAACCTAATGTATTCAATGGTATGTAAATTGATAAAGAAGAGAAAACACTGGAGAGGCTAAAAGGCAAGGAAGGTGAATGTTGTGATTTTTTTTTTACTAATTCTGATCATTTTGATGTTGAAGAACAGATGCTTCCTTTTTACATAAAGTCTTTACTTTTAATAAACAACAAGTGATTTCCTCAGCTAAAGTGATTCTTAAGTAATAATTTAAAGATTGCACAAAAACTCTTGGTACCCACAGCAGAATCCATGTTTTGATGATGAAAATGGTGAAAAGTACTACATCTTCATCATGCTAACTGTATCTGTTCTAAATAGAGGTGGTTTTTCAATCAGTTAATAAATCAGTGTACTGCTTTTATCTAAAAGTGGATAAAATATGGAAGACACACACATTAAGGAATAATTTTCTGTCTTGTTGGCCAAAGAGATCCAGGGACTTGTCTTAGGACAGTAGCATGAAAAGTTGACTAAAGGTGCCAGGAAGTATTCCTGACGCTTACGGAAGGAGAAGAGTATCCAAGAACTTGTGAATTCATTCCATAATTGAATGTTATAACTTCACCCTTTATAAAAGGCATTTCCTGAGCAAATAGTCTCTACAGTTTCTCTGCTTGTATATATATATATTTGTTGTCTCTTCAGCCCACTTGTCCTTCCTCCAATTGGATTTTGTTAGAAAGTTTGAAATTCAAAGTATCTGTGCCTTACACAGATAATGAAGTCTAAAGAGCAAAATATTCCTTATGACTGAATGACAGTGTTGTCTAAGAACTTTAGGGTTAGGCAATTGATCAAACATCAGAGTTTCAGCAAAACCAACAGCTACTATCAAAGGGCTGCAGTACTGCTGTCAGTCAGGCAGTTACCTGTATTTGGTATCGGGATTTTGAGCAATAGTAAACAAGACTGTGAAGCAGCTGTCTCACGTAGAAAAAACATACCCAGGTTTAACCTCACCAAAAGGTATTTTTGGCAATAGCTGATATTTTAATTTTTTATTGTGTTCTATTGGAGATATTCCTATGGATCAATATTTGATGCAGCAACTTCTGCAAATCCTTTAGGCTTTTCCTTCTCTGCCATTTGCCGTTAGAGTCTGAACTTCCCAGGAGACCCTAGAACAGGGTGTAGTAGAAATTTGTTTTGTTCCTTTCCTTTGCAAGGGTTTTTTAATTACAGTTCTCTGCCAAAGAATGTATGATTCTTAGTTTTAAAATTAAAATTACTAAATGTAATGACTAGTTTCTTAACCTTTTTAAATACGATGTCATCTAACTGCAGCGGTGAGTGAATGGAATGTCTCTTCTGTTGAATAAAGAATTGATTTTGGGCTTTAAAATGATTCAGTTATACTGCTTTTACTTATGCTGACAATTTTCATTAATTGCAATTGGTCTTTGAAATGTCAGGGGTTTTTTTAATGTCTTTTTTCTTTCTCTAGCTGGGTTGAAAACTTTGGCCGAGAAGGTCTGGGGCTGCTGTTGGATGTTTTAGAACGATTAGTTGAGACAAAAAAGTAAGGATTATTTCATGTATAATTACCAGCTTTTCTTAATATGTAAACAGCATTTAATTACACTACGTCTTTTTTATTTATTCAGCCAGGACAAAATTGTGAAGAGGAGTCAGCATAAGGTTATACAGTGTTTGAGAGCCTTCATGAATAATAAGGTATGGGATTTTATTTAATTGGGAAATCTACATTGCTACAGTTCAGTCAGATAGTGTACATGATCAGTGGGTATAATCCTGTGCGGTTTTGAGAAGTGATGTGTTGGTCAGCTGTGATTTGAAGTACTTTCTGCTGTCACTTCTCTGTGGAAATATACTCAGAGAATAGTGTAAACTTTTGATGCTGATGTATGCCCTCATTACAGCGTAAGTGACCTGTTTTTGGACTTTTCTCTCATTTAGTTTTTTTAATTAAGTATTTGATGGATTTAAATGTCATTTGAAATATTTTCTTAAGGGAACTGTCAATGTCTTTTACTAGATATTCGATAAAGTCATTTGGATTCCTTCCAACTCTCTTTACAAGTATTTTTCTGTTGTTTAGTATGGATTGGAAAGAATTTTGGGAGAAGAGAGAAGCCTTCTGTTGCTGATCAAAGCAATCGATCCCAAGCAAACTAACATGATGACGGATATAGTTAAACTTCTTTCCGCAATGTGCATCGTTGGAGAGGAAAACATGTAAGTATTGTATTTAGCCAGAAATAGTAAGGTAATTTTATCATGTCCAAAATTATAGTTATACCAGAATGAAATGCTGAAGTTTTCAATTTAGATTTGGAAGTAGTATCTGTACTATATTGTCAGTTTTCAGAATACCTTTGTCAGTGATTTTTATTATGGTCATATCAATAAGAGGTTTTTTTGACATGTGGATGTACTGATGTGATCAAAGTAGTTATGCAGCCATTCTTAAATGGCTTTAAGCCATGCTTAGATTTTTTTTTTGGCATTACTTTTAAGGTATCTTAACCATTGTAATCCAGTAAATCATTCTTTGTCTACAAAATTCTACAAAGGAAACAAGTAATGCTTAAACCTCCAAGATTTGTATGCAAGAAAATGAGGCAGGTGGATAGTTAGGCAGCATGACTATTCAAATAGCAAGTGAACATCAAGGTTAAACACATCTCCTCAGGGAAATGCTTTTCTTTACTTACAGCCTTGAAAAGATTTTGGAAGCTGTAACAGCAGCAGCAGAAGAAAAGAATGTTGATAGATTCTCTCCTATTGTAGAAGGTCTTCAGGATAACTCGGTTCAGCTGCAAGTAAGCAAATTTTTTTCTTAAACCTCTGCAACAAGTCAAAATAAAATTACTTATTTTTCTGTACAAGTCATTACAGTAAAATGGGCGAGGAATACTATTTCAAATAAGGGTTAAATTTAGGCATGTTGTTTATAATGTTGTCTTTTAAAATGTGTCATGGGAAGATCTAGTGTTGAGAAACACAGGGATGTTGCAGGTTCATGTGTTGATTTGAAGACACTGGGAGTTAAATTTGTATTGCCTTTTAAAATAAAGCATGAGTCATATTCAGATGCAAAAATATTTATCTCACTTCTGGCAATATTTACTGAAACTTAAAGATTAGTAAAAGTAAAAAAGCAAGTTTTTATGCAACTGCTTTTTATCATTAGTGTGTAAATCAGCAACAAATCTGTTCCTCAAGCCCAATTTCTGATTTAATAAAATTGGACCCAGAGAGTCTAAGGAAAGAAGTCTTCCGCCTTATTTTCGATTTGCTTCAGTTGGATATAGATTTTACCACAAAGACACCCGAAGTAATATAGTTCATTTGAATGATCATTATAAATTATTGGTCTAAGAGTGTAAATATTAACTCATATTGATTTTCATGTAACTAATTTGACCTGAATGCTGTTCGTAGTTGTCGTTCTTTGTGAATATTACAAAAATGGTAAAAGATGAATCTCAGATTAGAAAGAAATGATTGTGCTATTCCACTGTCACCATTTGTATTAAATAGTATATGTCTGACAGTAAAGATCGCTGTTTGTTTCATCTGTCTCACAAAAAAAAACCCTAAACATAAAGAAATATGTGAACGTGGAGAATCATTTGTACTTGAATTACGCCACTAACAGGAATCCTGAAAAATTGTCCTTCCTTTCTTACTTTAGTTATCTTATAACCATAGAATAGTTGGGATTGGAAGGAACCTTGAAATCTAGAAATCTAGTTCCATTCCTCCTGCCATGGAGGGCCATCCTTCACTAGATCAAGCTGCTCTAAGTCCCATCCAGTTTGACCTTGAACACTTCCAGGGAGGGGGCATCCACAACTTGCAGGATGTGATTGGCTCTCTAGGCTGGAAGCACATATCGCCAGCTAATTTTTCGTCTATGAATATTCCCAAGACCGTCTCTCTGAAGGGCTGCTCTCATTCTGTTCATCACTCAGCCTTCACTGATGCTGGGGATTGCCCCAACCCAGATGCAGGATGTTGCACTTGGCCTTGTTGAACTTCGTGAGGTTCACATGGACCCAATTCTCTAGTTTGTCAAGGTCACTCGGGGTGGCATCCCTGATACTTCATCTTCAGCTTCCTATTGCATGATTTTATGCCTCTGCATTCTAGAAAAGAGCTTTTTACAGTTTAAATTACTTATTTACCTTTTTTATTTGTAGTCTTTGAATAAGATTCGATAGCAAGAATTTTTTTTTTTTCTTTAAATCTTGCTGTCATAGCCATAGTGGGATCAACTACTGTGATAGGATAAACTGTGCTTTGAATTGTTGCTCAGTTTTCTGGTAGTAGGAATGCATGGTGTGTGTAAGTTGACAGGTGAGGTGATAACTGAGGAAAGGATGATCCTTTAATTTGAATTCTTTTTTTCTGAATCTTGTAAGCTTTTTTTTTTTGTCTCAGCATGGATTTAGTACACTGAGTTAAAAAGTTCTGAATAAAAACTACATCAAAGAATTTATGATTCTCTAGATTCTTCCTTTGCTTCAAACTTGGAGATTTCTAAATGCCTGTAATGCATATTGCACTTGGTTACCGATGATGATGGTCAGAGTTGCTTAGGAACCTCAGGCAGTTAACTCAGGGTCAAGAAGGCTCTCCCCCAGTGATAATTTTTATTGGCTGGAAATGTAGGATATTTTGTTTGTTCTTATATTTAATTTGTTGTTTGTTTTTTTAAAAGTGTATCAGGTCGATACTGATTTCCTATAAAAGATGTTGATTTCAGCTTAGTGCAGTAGGATTTGTCTTTTTTCCCTTTTTTTATTCAGACTTGTCTATTTTGTTAAGGTATTGAAAGTTATAGTAATTGCCTTTAAGGGTCAAAAAGGAGACTTTATATTGCAAGGCTGAAGCACAGAAGTAAAGTGTAGGCTGTGAGACAACAATTTTCCTGTTTTCCAAGGTTTTTGAGCCTGCACTTTGAGATTGGATGTAAATATCGTGCAGCAGCAGATCCTTACCTTAGGTATTTTTGCAAGAATCATTGCAGTTCTTCAGAATTACATTTAAATATATGATCATATATTTCTGTTCTCCTTTGGAGTCTCTGTTTGATTTAGATTTCAAGATGAATGATGTTCAGTTAACAAGTTCCTACTCAGTATTTTTTTTTTCCTTCCCTCCATATTTTACCATCCTTGAGATAGTAGGCAGTATGAATCTGAGCCAGGTGTGAAAGCTTGGGCTTGTCAGACTTTTAAGGACATTGTAACATTGGCTCACTGCATCCAAGGCTGATTTGTTTGCATGATTTCAATCCTTCTTGGTTTGCTTATTCTACTTGCTTGGTTTACTTTGATATTGGGTCATGATATAAATTAAAAAAAATTGTTCTTATTTGGTCAACCTGAAAAACAAAAATATGAAAAGTTTGGTTATTTTCTGTTACGTTTATTTCTATTCTTTTATTATAATCAGTAAAGTCAAAATGTGTATGTAATATATTCTACGAAAATTTTATTCATAAATATGCTCAATCAATGAATTAAAAATAAGAAGTCCAAATATAGAAGTTAGTTTTAATGTTAAATAATAGTAGTTCGGTGTCTCTTTATAGTAGTTGAGCAGCTTTCTTCTTTCTTTGGCATGAATATGGAGATCAATAAACGTTTTAAAAATATTTTGATTTAACAGGGAAAAATGCTTTTAGGTAATGGAAATTGTGTTTTCCAATTTCAGGGTATTGTATCTATCTTAGGAGAATTCAAGAGCCTGTATTTGCTATAGAGCTTATAAGAGAACTTCAGGTCCATCACAGCACTTATATGAGATGCCTACATTTTAATAGTGTGAAGAGCAGTACTTCTCTGACTGTTCTTAACTAGCTTATAGGGGTTCAGAGTCCTGAAATTAACTGCATTTTGGTTTGAATGGTAGGCTTCCAAACGCGATTCTGAATCTCAGAAGTTGCATGTATTTGCACGTGTGTAGATTTAATAAGGGAAAGAATGCTATCTATGACTCCCTTTTCTATACAGTTCAAAAAGCACATGAAAAACACCTTAAAAATAGCCCCTTACTTTATTTGAAGCAGCAACTAAATTAAATTAATCCTATGTGCTTCTTCCTTTATCCATGATGGAGACCCAAATGAGCATATTGGCCATTTCCTCCTTATTAAAAAATTAATCTCTAAGGGCGTCTCCAAATCTATAAAAATTCCTTGTGGATTAGACTGAAGCTGAACAGGTAATACTTATGTTCGATCAGCATTTAGGAATAGGCTTCAGAAATTACAGTCCCTTGTTGGTCCCCTTTAAGAAATAAGTAGACACTGATATTAGTGGCAGTTGAGAGAGTTGATGTGCAGAGAAAAAAAAGGTCATAGCTGATTACCTGTAACCAGTTAGCTGTTAGGAACATGAGCACTTTCCTACTCACTGTTAACAGCAGTGCTGAACTCTGTTAATGAGATAACCCAGTCAGTGCTGAAGACTTCAGCTGAGTTGTTAACTGCGCAGTAACAACTTCTGGTTTTGTAGGACTACTCTTCAGATGTTAAACAAGTGCTTTTCTGCTCGCTACACCTTCTCATGATTGCGCTATACCTCTGTTTGGTATTTTGTTATCCTCTAGAAACATTTTTAAAACTGAAAGTTTACTACTCAAGCTAACTATATTAATTTGGCTTTACTGGGAGTGTTACTCTGAAGTTCCTGATTTTTTTGTTTTTGTTGTTGTTCCATTTGAACATGTTCTTTCTGCTAAAAGACTCTTCATTTTCAGACTCCACAAACGGTTGCTAGATATTTTTTTTTCCTTTATGACCAGAAAAATCAACGTTCCTCACATGAATCAGTTGTAAACTTTTATAACAATGACATTGACCTGGTGGTTAATTTGACAGTGTTTTAATGAGGCAAAAGTTTACAGTTGTCAGTTACTTGGCATACTTGCCTTGATTATCTGCTTGATATATGTAGGATTGCTTTGTCACAGTTCAATTTGACACCAAGAACTGACCTTTTCAATTTTGAATTGATTAACGTTTCTGGTATTTGAAGCCTGAATATATAAAAAGCCTCAATATGATATTTCTCTGTATATTTAGTAAAAGCTCTATCTATCTACTTTTTACATTTGTTGAAAGCAAAGGATATTCTCCCTTTTATCTTTCATAAAATCCAAAATTATGGAAAGCATACTTAAATGTTTTTGGTTCAAGACAAGATTGGTGATCTTAATTTGAGAGTATAAGTACAGCCAGGAGTAGTACTGAGTTTCTGGTGGTGTTAAAGTAAATTTAGTTTAACGTTTTAAGCCTGTGCTCAAGGAAATGCATACAGGGCAATCTGGTATACTTAAGACAACAACCGCAAGAGTCTCATACTCTACTTGTGCAAGCCACAGAGGCAGGAAATACAGCTCTTCTGACACAACCCATTTCGACGAATGTAAGTCAGTGATGACAACAGCAATGAACTGTGTGTTGCTCACTTCTCCTTGTAGAATGAAATGAATGCCTCGACTCTCTAATCATCATTTTTAATCGCCAGGCAGTTTAACTAGTGGAAGAGTGCTGCTCTTCTCTACAGTTCCAGTTGGAAATGCCAGTTCCTTCTAATTTTCCAGTCAAACTGAGAAGAGGTACAACACTGAATCAAAGATGCAATTCTTTTTCCATTTGAGTTCCTGAAAAATGAGTACTGATCATCCCTGTGGAAACCTGCAGGTGCTTCATGCCTGTCCTAGGAGAAACGTTTTTGTGATAAAGTGAAAGCTATTATCTATTCATCAGTAGCATTACCCTCTCAGTATTTTTAGTTGTCAGGGAATA